GGCCGTTTCGTCCTATGTGGGACTCCTCACCAGTGTGCATCCACGATCCCACCTCGCGAACGCTTAACCTCCAGACCACTCAGCTGGCATCCAACGGTATTATTGCCTAACCTAAACTAATCCACGAAATTGAACAACACAACAGACCCGGTTGAACTGAACTGATTACTGCTTCTCATTAGAACTCCAGGAAATGCCTCTTGAAGCCAGTCACTAGTGAGCATATGTTGATTAGTATCAGAAGAGGTTTTGTGGAGATTGTAGTAATTTTAAAATTACTAAAATCTCCACAAAACCCCTCCTGATATATTTCATTCATTGAATAGAAGTCAAGAAGTTATGTTTAGTCTTTATACGAACCAACCCACAGTCTAATTGAAGTGGAAAGTGAAAATTCAAGTTTTGGAGTCGTGATAATACTACAATAGAATTTTAGTGTACATATTTATTTATTTATTTGAACACATGAATATTGGTACAAGAGAGCGCCAATATATATGCGCCACACAAAACAATAAGAATTCGAAGAGAAATAGAAAAAAAAGCTAAGGAGCGCAAAAAAAGAGAACAATAACGAAGAGATTGGTGTAAGGTAGTATGGTAGAAATGAGGGAACAGAAAGGTACAATCAGAAGAACTCTTTCAGGTAAGGGAGACACAACCACTTTTTATGAAGAAAGTAAAAGAAGGTTACAGCAGGATCGCCACTGGCTTCTATTCTGAGCCATATCTGATAACGTCTCTAGCCACTGTGTAGCACCATCTCTCAGACCCCAAACAGGGAGTCGTGAAGGACCAAGACAAGCCAGTCCTTTGCAGCTTTCTTTCATGCCACGACACCATGTCATGCACTGACCACCTCTCCGCTTCTTCCAACCAGTCCCAGAGTCGGCAAATAATGCACGACGTGGAATTCTCTGGGACGACATTCGGAGAACATGTCCAAGCCACCGAAGTCGGTGTTTCAAGATGGTGACATCGATTGCATTATCATCTCTGTGCCCGAACACACAATGCCGAACCTCTGCATTACTGACATGGTGTTGCCACTGAATGTCAGCAATCCTTCGGAGACAGCGATGATCGAACACAGAGAGTCGTCTAACGTCCTCAACTCTGAGAGGCCAGGTTTCACAAGCATAGAGCAAAACTGCTCTCACCGACGCGTTGTAGATCCGACCTTTTACAGTCAGACTAACATCACGAAGGTGCCAAAGATGGCCCAGATTGGCATAAGCCGCTCTGGCTTTCACTATACGTGCATTGATCTCATCACTCACACCCTCACCAGCACTTATGCAGCTACCCAGATACACGAACTTCTCGACTACGTCTATCTGCTCACCGTCCAGAGTGAGTACAGGATTAGAATCCTGCCAGTCTTGTAGAAGTACTTTGCACTTCGAAGGTGCAAAGCACATACCATACCTACGGACACTGATTGCCAACTGATTAAGTGCGCATTGCATGCCTTGGGCATTATCGCACAGTAAGACAATATCGTCCGCATACTCAAGGTCGAGAAGTCTTTCTCCAGGCAACAGATCCACATCACCATTACTTACATTCATCAGAGCTGTTTCCAGAATGTCATCGATGGCAAAGTCGAAGAGGAATGGTGAGATTGGGCAACCCTGCCTAACCCCACTGCTCGAATGGAACAATGAAGAAAGGTGTTTGTATGCCCTCACTCTGCCTGAGGTGTTTGTATATAGGGCTTTTAGGATGTTAATAAACTTCTCAGGCACACCCTTCTTCAATAGACAATCCCAGAGAACAGTCCTGTCCAACGAATCGAAGGCAGCCCTGATGTCAAGAAACACTACGATTGTTGGCCTTTGAAAAGTATGACGGTGTTCTAACATTTGGCGGAGGGTAAAGATATCATCAATACATCCTCGACCAGAACGAAACCCAGTCTGCTCCTCGCGAGTCAATCTTTCTCGGGTTTTGAACAACCTACGAAGTATGACGGAAGCCAATAGCTTGGACGCAATCGGAAGTAGACTTATCCCCTGATAGTTGTTACAGGAACGACGTGAACCCTTTTTAAAGATAGGGACAACTATCGACTCATTCCATGACGTTGGCACACTCTCTAGTTCCCAGACCTTTGTAAACAACGTCGTCAATTCCTTAGTCAAACAGTCACCACCATCTTTAAAAAGAGCCGTAGGTAAGTCATCTGGGCCAGGTGATTTGTAACGCTTCAAGAGTTGGAGTTCCTTGCGGACTTCCTCCTCGTTTGGTGGATCAGTCGTCACCGGCCATGGAGGGCAGGACAGTCTGACCGATGTTGCCGGAGCAGCAGGCCAGTTGAACTGCCCTTCGAAAAATTCTGCCCATCGTCCAAGACGTCGATGGATGTTAGTGATTGGCATCCCATCATCCTCGCAGATTGTTTCACTCACACCAGACTTCTTGCTGCCAGTGGCTCAGATGAGTTGGAAGAGCTTCCGGTAGTTACCAGATGCAGCTGCTGCTTCCAGCTCATTAGCACGCTTCGACCACCAGGCTTCTCGGTCCTTACGCAAGCTTTGCCCGATTTCCTTACATAGCATCCTTCGTTTATGGTCAAGCTCACGGTCACCCGGAGTAGACCGACGGGCTTCAATGAGTTGTAAGGAACCAGAAGAAACCCAGTGCTTATAAGCGGGACGTTTCGCGAACACACAACTGACTGTACCCGCCATTTTCATGGCGTCATGCAATTGCAACCAATGCTCATCTATACTTTTCGGTGGAATGGTAGCTAGCCTAGAGGCTAGCTCGGTTCGATACTTACTTGCAACAGAAGTTGCAACCAACTTGCTAATATCAATCCATTGATGGCGGTCACTTCGTTGGACACTGAAAAGTAAGGCAAGATTGGCGCAGACCAAGGCATGGTCAGAGTCCAGATAGGTACTTCAAAAGGAGCGGCAGTCTTGTACACAACCACGCCAGCGGTAGGTGATCAATCTGAGTTCAGGCGGCTTGGGATGCAGAGGGAGGACGCCAGGTGGCACATCGGCGATGACTGTGCCGAAAGTTAGTGCTAGCCAGAAACAGGTTGTGGTCTGTGCACAGTTGCAGTAGACGGTTCCCGTTATCTGACCTGCGACCAACGAGTCCCCATCGGCCACCTAAACGACTCTCTTCTGTGCCTAGACGCCCGACCTGAGCATTCAAGTCTCCGGCTAGTACTACAATATCTGTCGAACGCACTTTCTGGAGAAGAACAGTTAACTGGTGGTAAAACTCATTCATGATTGCATCCGGGCTGCAATCTGTCGGAGCATAGCCGAAGATGACGAAAAGACATCGTTTCTCACGCCGATTTCTTCTCACTTTGATGGAACTTTCTGATCTAACAGCACATAACCGACTGTTAATGGGGATCCAATCGATTAGTGCTGCCTCAGCTCTAGCGCTTAGTGCGACACCAACGCCAGCAAGACCAGACGAAGATGCCACAGGGTCCCCGGATAAGCGCACGTAAAACAAGCTTTTTGAAGTGACAGATGGAGAGCGAATTTGTAGTACTTCACCAGAGTCTTGAATATGGGTCTCGGATAGACAACAAACGTCGATATTAAGACGCTCCACAGACATAACCAGCCCTATCTGTTGTCTGACCTGTATAAGTGTGCGAACGTTGAAGGCAGCCAGTTTGAATGGTGCACATGGTTTCAGAAAAACTGCTTCAGTACTCATATTCGGTGGTAACATACAATTTTCAACCGGACAGTGACTCGAGAACGTTTAGATACAGTCGAATTTCCACCGAAGACGAGCCGCTGTATAAGTATAAAAGAGAGTGAATAATGTGGAAAATAATAATAATAATAATAGTATTAATAATGACAATAATTGTAATGATAATAATTTGAACCAATTGATTGTTTTTCGAAGCGAGAAAAGTAATTTCCATAGACATAGAGAGTTCATCATTTGTGTATGGGCTGTGATACTGACCGTGTGCCCAAACCGAAGCAGGTGGTTATCTTAGGGGGCCACTCCCCGAACCTTTGACCTAAAGGTCTAACCCACAAGGCAGTGGAACATCGTAAGGAGATGCAATCCCATGGTAGCCGGTGACCAATAATTGGTTCATACGCCATTTGTTCCCGTAGGATACTGGAGACCATGTGCACCATTGGTTTGTGATCCGGTTAAAGTGCCGGACATTCGCTTATCGTCCTCTCATTTTCGTAAACATAAGGGAAAGTTTGTTGGTCAGCTTACAGAAATGATAATGGTTTTAAAAACCTGTGACAGTTACTTTAAGAACTCTTTTCGAATAATCACACAGTAAAATTCAGAGTTACATATCAATTAGTCTTCGATTATTCAACTGAAGCTCTATTTTAGTAAAACAAAACAGTCAAAAGAAGAGTAGTGAATCAAACGAACTATGTGATATAGACAGAAAAGGCTAAGAATAAATCACTTACAGTCTCTTCAAAACTCTATAAACAGATGTATGTCAAACTACTGAAAAGAGATGTTTTTTCCTGACCGATTATTGTTTCATTTAATATTCACTCATTCAGGAGCTTTGAACCATTCACTCATTAATTCGATTTTAATAAGTACTGTCCATTTAAATATACTTTAAAACATTTTGGCCAACTATTCAAACATAATCATATATATACAATATTCCTCTATCATAACAAAACTATTCGAAAATCTTAAAGAGATAAAATCTCTTATAAAATGAACACATTTCTGCAATGAAAAACAAACAAACGAAATCTCATTGAAAATTTCTCAACACACAAATTACCTTATCTAAATAAGTTAATTTTAAATGACAACTTGTATTCCATTCACCAGCATCTAAACATGTAGCGTAACTTTCCATATCATCAATACATGGGGGATGTGAATTGCCTTCAATTTGAATATTTAATGCTTGTAATTTAGTTATTTCAATGAGAATTTTTGGATTCAATCGATTTAATTGATCTGTAGGAAATTGTTCTAATGGATCAGATTCTGGATTATACACTATATTTGTTTGTAAAAACAATTTCTCTATAAAATAGGCAAACAAACGAACAAATAAATAATTGAATTAGATCTAAAGTAATGTATACATTTAACGTCTGATTGACGATTGAAGCCGAAATTGTAAATACGAATACAGACGAGTGAAGAAAAACTTCAGATAAATATTTAACCTGTTTTCCTATTACTTTGAAAAATTAAATAATTCTAGTGAATTAAAGTGTGTGTGTAAGAGAGAGAGAGAGAAATATGTATAAACAAGGGAAAAATAGTGAAACATGAATTCTCAAATGACAGTAAACTTACAGATGAAAGCAACTGACGAAGTTATCATAGCAAATGCATATACTTTATAAACACTTAACTCAATCTACGGTATAAAATACATGCAGTTACAAAGGCTAAGAGCATAGAATTATCTACTGGATGTAATGATCAAATAAATCATCTGGAGGTAAAGTTAGACTGAACGGAAAGTAAAAAATAGAATCCAATAGACAATAATTCTTTGTTTTTTTAATATCTGGAGTTTAGTTTCCAAGTGTCTAAAGATATCGATGTCCTAAATCATTATTTTGACTACAATACTACATAAGTGTTAAAACGCCATTTTATGGAGGAGGCTTTTAATAATTTGAAATGAAATTAATGAGTATTATTAATGACTATACTCAAAATCATATTCTTTGTACAAAATGAAGTCTTAAGAACAAAGTATTTTAACAAGTTTCCTTTTCTTATTTCTTGATCGATCCTGATGATAAATACTCAGTGATCACCAGTTAGATATTAGCAGTTCAGGAATCGACATCTGCATAATGTTCATTCTTATCAATGAATATTGCCAGCCACCACGATGTTGCCGACTGTACTTTTTGGTAACTTGTGACGCAAAAGTTTTACAAATGTCCTTGAATAGGTTATGCGATTAACAGACATAATGATGTGTCAAAACAAACAATAACAGATAGCCTGTTGAAATATTTAAATGGCACGGACAGGTACCCCAGATATTCAAACAGACCGCCGGTATTGTTAATCGACTGAAACTTCCAAATGATCAGAAATTAAAGACAAGACCGTTATGACCTTGACGTCTGGTTTTTCTATCACACGATTTACCTACCAATCCGAATACGACTTATACGAATCTTCACACTAGGCCAACCAATGACGTTCAACCAGTGTGGGCAGTTTAGCGTCCCTATTGGTCCTATGTCCTCCGAGCCCTTCCACGTGAGTCCAGAACACAATACCAGCTTCCGAATATGAATCGAATCAGAGCAGATCAGACCAGATCGTTTATTTCAGACATACCCGGTTTATATATCAATCAGACAGACCACAACGTACCATAAAATAGGAAATAATATTTGTACACAAATAAGCCAAAAAGTGGCTGTGAATGAGGGGGACAGTAATTAATAGACTGAGCATAATTTAGGGACAGTAAATCGTACAATAATAAAATATAGGTCAAAATAAAGCTTATAATAAGAGGAATATAAATACACATAGTGTAATTGTTGAGTAGTTTTACAATAGGAATATTTATAGAATATTAGTCCATGAATAGTCCTTGGAAGTTACCTGTAATTTAATCTTCACCGGATATAACAAAGACCACTGGACAGATGAATAGGTTTTTTAAATGATAAAATAAAATACTTATAAACATAATATGAAGGCCAAATAAACACAATGAAATGTCACAGGCAATCGGAGGAAATTGGCTCGTAGGCCACTCATTTTCCAATCAATTAGGATCTGGCTATGAGGCCTAATTTTTAACTATTCTATCAGTTCAGTAGTTATGTTACTAAATAATATTCTCAAATAGAGATGAGATTTCCTGAAAACAGTACTATTTTGGTATGCAGGTTTGGATAAGGTTTACCTCAAATAGACTTTTGAAATCATTATGGATTAATTATAAAATTAAGACATTACTATTATGTCATTAAAGTCTAATTTATTGTGATATTTTATATATTAAGGCCAAATTATTTATTAACAGAATATCAGCATTACAGAAAATTACTGATGAAATGTTAATGATTATAATTACTTATACAGTCCTACATGAAATTTTATATTGTAACAAACAAATTTTATTATTATTTAAGCATAAATAATGAAGAACTTATCTGTGAAATTTCAATTTTATGAACTAGTCAATTTCCCCATATGAGTTAGAAATGTTTGACAGTTTCACAGAACAAAACTAATTTTATATTAAATCAAATTATTATTACACTTTTACCTATACAACTAGAATGTCTAAGTTATGGGAAATAGTTAAAAGAGATAATGAAGGTAATAGCATATTAAAGCACTTACGAATATAATCCAAGGAGGCACCATATACATATGCGTCACACAAATCATTCGATTTGCGTGAGGGATGGGATACTATCCAGGTGCCCAAACCGAAACAGGTGGTTTTCTTAGGGGGTCAGTCACACCCGAAGCCTTCGACCTAATGGTCTGATCCACAAGGCAACGGAGCAGAGTAAGGAGATGCAGTCTTTAGAACATTTCGTTACTATTGATAAACTGTTCGAAAGTATTTATGCACCACTGAAATATTTTACAGTATAAGAATCATAAATTGTTAACAATTACATTAGTCTCTGTATCATCTTTCTCCAGAAAATTATTTGATAAAATAATAGTGTTTTATGTATAGCATATTGAATTTCATAGACTGATCCATTCTTTATATATGACACAATATCCTGTCAACCTTGCTTCATTAACTTGTGTCCATCAACCTTACGAAATCGATCTGTGACTGGTAATTTATATAAATAAATTTATTTACTTTACTAAAACGTTAACACTTGTGTAGCAGCGGAAATGAGCTAACTGAAATATTTTTCCCTTGTAAAAAATACGTTTTTAAAAAAAAATAAAAACAAACACAACAGGATTCTGATATGTTTAACAATTAAATAAAACAAAGCATTTCAATACCACCAAATTATAACTTTGGAGGGGGAGGTGAGGAAAACAAAACCACACAATTCAGTTATCAATTTGTGAGAAAAAGACACTCAAGTAAACGTCAAACTAGATGGTTGAACAAAATGTTTTATCATACACATATTTGTGTCTTGGTTATTAAAAAGAAAACAGTGAAAATTGCATGTAGCCCAGAGATCTATTGTATATATGCGGAGCATTATATAAATGTTCTGTGAAAGTTTCGGTAATAATAAGCAAATTAATTAATACAATTGTAATCCGTTCACAATAATACTTGATGAACGAAGTAGCACAAAAATTAATTGGGAATTTTCGGACAAAGAAATTATAGCAAAGAACTAATCAAATTCAACTATTCAACTTACCATACTTTTTATCTGATATAAATGGACATATATTTAATTAAAATAAATAGACGGAAATTAAGTAAAAATTCAGATCAGAAGAAAATTTATAAGTTAAATGGATTACATAAATAATATCGATTATCATACACTAAGATGATTGATTGAAGAAAGGGGCTAAGGGAATTCAAGCATTTGAAGATCATCTTATCGATGTGTTGAATATAAAGAGATGATATGCTGATAAAAGGCTGATTAAATATCGTTGAAAGGACACATAATGAGAAATGCAAGTGTCAGTTAGCTTAGCATGGGTGAGTGGATTACATATTTGCATATCTTTATCTGGATCAAGTCAGAATTATTTATATATTTCGAGTTTACCTATGCGAAAATTTAAAACATTCATTGCAAAACTCGATTGTCCTATCTCTAAAATCATATAGGTTATATTCAAAGTACAGATAATCTAATCTCGAGATAGTCATTCAACAAACAAACAATCAATTTATAGTGGAAATCATCTAGCAATTCACTGAATCACTAAGATCCATTAGATTTTAAGAAATTATATTAACAGAAAAATTTCGGTTATTGAACTTAATTTAAGCTTCAATAAATATTTTCTAACAACTGTTAAACGATGATAAAATCTATCTTTTATTAGTGTATAGTTTCTTAATAATTCACTGCTAGATATTTAATTGTTTTCTGTTTAATTATTGTCATCTTTATTTATATGTTACACTTCTGTTTAGATTTTGTGTCCTCAGTTCAATGGGCCATTTTCAACATTGAATAAATAAATAAAGTGATAGGGGAGAATTATGACCTATAAACTGAATACTACTTAATAATCATAATACCAAAATGTTTGAAGAGAAAAATTAGCGCATAAACTATGATAATATTTAATAGGAAAGTGTAAAACCATTGATTAGTTAAATTCATTAACAAGGAAATGAATTGAATGATGTGAAACTTGAAACAATCATAAAACATATAACCAAGCTATTACACATCACAGAATAACAAGAGAGAAATAATAATACATCCAATGAAGATCAGTGCATAATTAATAAACAATAAGTAGCAATCTTAATATTAAGAAAAAATTAAGGAGTAAAAGCGAATTTATATTATATTGAAACTTATGGAAATAAATCAGCTGACAAGCAATTTACAGCGGTTTCCCACTACAATAAAAATTAAAAGCATAAATTCAGTAGTTAGTGACATCATAAATCTGTCACGTCATACGTCTTCGTATTATTACCTAAAGAGAGTTAAGATCTAAAAAACATTACGTCAGAAACAACCTCCCTTAACAAAGAAGTACATATATATATATATATATATATAAAGTAGCATGTATAATAAGCAGTGTATATGAAAAGTTGAATATAAATTCCTTTTATTAAAACGAAAAAAAGCTGGTTCTGACTTACCGGATGAACCGTTTAACCCCTAGTAGAAAAAATGTACGTAAAAACAAGTTACAATAAACTATGTAGTCATTAATGAAATTTGTTTACTTGGTGGGAAAAAATAGAATCAGTATATATAAATATATATGTAACTGTAGAGCTTTGAAAATGAATTCGCCGAAAAAAGAACTCTTCGTTGAACTAATCTTTCTTATTTAAAAAAATAGAACTCATAACTATACTTTTATCTTTGAATATGAATATTGAAAGTTATAAATAGAAAATTACAACTACATCACAATAAGATGATATTGTATCGTGGTAAGCAAATGAAAATAATTCAACTGCGTATTATGAACTGTATTATGAGATGTAAGAAATGAATTCATTTCAATGTGGCAAAATAATAGATGAAATCATAGTAGTAATCAAGACCATTTGATCTTTTTTGTGACACGATGAACAGACTATCATCAAAATATTTCTTTTAGAGGTGAACTTATTTCCCTGATTAAAATGTGTAGTAGTACTTTCACATAAATGTGATAAAATTAACGTAAAATGAAATAATCACAGATTAGATCACACATTGGTCTTACTTAGACAACTATTAGAACCGATAAGTAATGAACAGCCGTTTTAACATAGTATAGAACGCGTCGTTGGGGCACATCTACGACTCCACCAGGGATCGAATTCAAGACCTCCAGTCTTATGAGCAAGTGCAAAATTCCTCATACCATTGGGGAGTCCCATACTAGAGAGAAATAGTTGTTCTTAATGGTCGTTTAACCACGAACAATGTGTGACGTAATCTATGGAAGTTCAATAATCTGCACAAACCTATCAGTGATACATTTGTTTAAGTTGTAACATTCTACTTATCATACAGATACAGAAAGATGACAAAAAGGGTATGTAATAATCTAATCAACAAATTCTAATAACCTAAGAAATTTTATTTTTCAATAAAGCTTGATCAACTTCGTACATACACCAAATATTAAAAGTTGCTTCACAATTTTAGAGTATACTAAAATATAATGGTCAAGTTTGGTATATAGCTCATTAATCTGTGCCTTACACAATCTAAAAATATTAGTCCGATAGAAACTATTTAAAAATATCAATCAGAACGTCTATTAACTAAAGGAGATCCAAAAGGCCTCCTGTAAACAGAGTGAAAGCTAATTATCCACTAACAATCCAACCGAAAATTTGGTTACATTGTCTAGGCAATTTATAATCGTATATTAACTAAAAACAGCTTCAATAAAATGCTAAATTAACATACTGCTTTTAGATTTCTTGATTAACCGATATAAGATATACAGAATAACCGAACAACTAGCTCTAACATGAATTAGGCCTTGAAGATGTTCAGAAATACAGTGAAAGCTCTTTTAGAGTACACTAACCAAATAGATTTGTGACTCATTAGTTAAGGTGGTTATTCTTATTATCACTATACCAAAAATATTAGAATCAAAACATCTGCATAACTTAGTTTCATTCATCCCGCTTTTCAGAGTCGTTAATTTTCAGTTACAAATAATTTTATAATATAAATACTTGAATTCTTTATCATGCAATGGAATATATGACAGCTCGGTTCCTTATAATACTCTTCTCACTAGCATAAGCAAACGTAACGTTAACTAAATTATACGCACATAGATACTATGCATCACTCACCTGATGGTCAGTTTTAATTACAGACGATGATAACGGTGAAGACAATGTAGGTAAGAAAATACCAGCACCATCCTTATCAGTTAATAGTGTGGGTGTTTGTAATTCATCCGAATTACTATTGCTACTAGTAGTAGTATTAATTGATGTCGGGTGTTGTATATGTGAATTGGATTTTTCATTTTTTTCATTTCCAGATACTGAACTAACACATACTCTCTTCGCTTTCGGTTCATATTCATTCACTGATGAAGATGAAGATGACGGGGACAATGACACAGTATTATTAATTATTGGTTCATCTATTTGCTCATTGGATTTCACAAAAGAATTTAACCCAGTGGTATTTGGTTGACTGATATTGTTACTATCATCATCGTCACAAGAATGTTTACGTTTTAATGAATTCAAAACAGTATCATTATTATCATTGTTACCAGTTAAATTAGACGTTGTAATTAATAGATTTGTTTTATTCGAATAATCATCAACAGTTGTTAGGGTACATTTATTATTATGCCCAACAAATTGATCTGTATCTTGAGGTAGACAAAATCCAATACTTTCTCTGAACGATTTCGTCTCCAGTGAAATCTATTATTTTTTTATAGGAAAAAGATTGGAGGAAAATTGAGAATAATTAACACATAATAATAAAAAAAACATGCTTGTTATTAATGTTCAAAACAGTACACTATAAAATTATTCAGCTAAATTCCATTTGAAAGTTTGTCAAAAGATTGTAAGTTATACTACTGATGAATATTTATCAACAATTATACACTGATAGACAAAGTATTTTGATAAATTATACATTCGAACATAGACAGCATCCATCAACAATAAATTTACGACAGCTGAATAATATTTATCATCAATCCTAAAATAAAATATGTATCTTACAAGCAATCAGAGGTGATCCAATAAATTCTGGGAAAAATGTAGTTAACATTAGTACTTTAGTGTTTGCTACTTATATATGTCCACTGTAAGTAGCATGTAGCGCCAATTGAAAGTGGAATGTATGCCAGTAGAAGACAGAAAATATTCAATTGAAGAGAACAGAAAGGGAAACAAAAAGTAATTCCAATAACAACATAATTGAAAGGATCATGAAGCATATTACGGACAACTGATGGAAGATGTGCAAATTATGTATTTAGTGTACGGTTATAATATTTTGTGAAAGCACCCTGTAATTTCGTATTAAACAATAAATTGGTCCTTTCCACTCACAACAGAACTGATCAATAACAGGTGTATTTTAGCACAAAGTAACACGAAAAATTATCGTTGTAATCAAGCATTGTAAACAAGCCACATTGCGGTTAATTTACAGAACACTTTCTAATTGTATATTGATACCAATAAAATATCCTCCATGCAAATTAAATCTCATTTGTCCATAAATAAAATATATATACAAGTATTTAAGTTTTGAAAAAGAATGATTACTGTTTTTGAGAAATTCCATGATTACTGGCCACACAGAGTACTAATAATAATAATCTAATGAAATGAAGTTTTGTTCAGATACAACATCACAAACCATGTGGCAATGGTTCAGTGATAACCCTTAGTGTGATAATATTTACATACTTGAAATTAACCAAGTGGTTGTTTTAGACATAGTTTCAGCGGGAAAAAATTTGATTAAAGAATGTTCCATGCATGATAGTGTTCAGAAACACAGACTGGCTATTTCTTAACGAGTCAGTGCTAGCGGATTCTCAGAGAAGATTCTAGAACATTTTTAAGTAAAAATCATAAACATACTAGCGTTTTTCTTAGTGTGATTCCTACTTTCATTCAACCTTGTTTATTTGGAATATAATTAGGTTCCTGTCCAACTGAGTTCTAATATGGAGACTTGTCAAGTGAAGTAGTACCCAAGAATACTAAGCAATAAGTGTAGCTGGGTCGTATTAAAAGAGTCTATAACACAGACATCCTAAATCGTTAACCAAAAAGTATGATTTGCAAAATGGAAAAGTACTGTAATTAATAGTGTAAGAATGAAAATGAAAACCTGTTTCTAAGCAGATTTAAATCTCTATAAAACAATTAAATGGCTCATAGAGCAATATGATATGTTAATGTTGACATGAAAATAGGCATTTTAGACACTGGTTACTACAATAATCCTAAGAAACAAATTTAATATCTAAAACTCCACACTGAAGTTATTCTATATACGTTTTTAGAATATAAGCTTTGATTTGAATACTGCTTCAAATATGATATGAAATATAAATAAAAAAGAAATATTTTTAAAACATATTAATGAAACTACTGACTTCATGAATCGCTCTGGAAATTCGACGAGAATAAGCTTGATCTTGTGACATACGGTCAGACATTCTCTCGAATTCTGTAGCTAATAACTGTAAACTAGCATAAAATCCTGTTGGTTCAGTATTACTTTGAGTAGATGATCCAAGCAGAGAAGCTGATGTAGTAACACGATTAGGATGTGTCAATCGACCATGTTCCACAACTGATCCTGATACAGCTGTTGATGTTTTGGTTGATATATCAGAACTTTGAGTACTTGAGATAGTGGGATTTATACCAGCTGATGAGAAATGAGTAGGTGGTCGAGGCTGAATACCTTGTTGCTGAATGTCTACTACACCAGTTGGACTTGGAGCATCGAAAGGTTGAGATAGAAGTGTGTTTAAATTAGTAGTCGGGACTAAAAATAAGCAAAAACAAAAAAAGTATGGGAATGTAATAGGATTATATATCAATCAAGAACTGAAATAAGGAACGTTGTAGAAAAAATCCACACTAAAGAGTTGTGTCGTTACACATACACAAGGTACGTTACCAGCAACGTGAAATTTCAAGGATATATGGTTAACAATAACCATAAGCATTTTGAAATGTTAAATCGATGAATATTTGTTTTAAGTTTCTTCAGTTCCCATAAGCTAATTTTATTTCCGTACTTATATCTAAATAACTTAACTGATATCGTAACGGTACGCCGGTGATTAGGTTCTTATTAGAATAAAACAGTTCCCTGATAGACCCTGAATTTCAGTGGTTTTTAAGTTAATATTAGTTCATGATGGATATCGTCATTAAAAAAAATACAAAAACTGGAAAATAAAACTCCCACAACTTCAATATCACTGTAAATTTATGCAAAACTTTGTGAAATTCAGTCAAAACAACCATAATTGAATAACAATTAAATTGCGTTCCAAATGCCATATCTTTTATTCTACATTTTAATCAAAGTAAATATCCATTTGCTTATAGTAGGATAATTTACCTGTTATTCAGTATCTGAAAAGCAAGGTAATCATTCGATGAATTTTTTTATGCCTCACAACTAATGAACTTAACACAGATATTCTTGTATAATATAAATGTCATTAAAACTATGCTATCAAATTTTTGCTGGAGTTTTGTTCTTTGAGCTAGATGGTTTGATCGTGGAGCTTTCATCGTTCTTCTGAACGACATCATCAGCACAAACTTCAGATAGAAGTGAAGTGTTCGAATTAAGTCCCATTCAACATTCATCAGAGTTGATTCATGTAAATTCACACTGCACAAAATTCTGAATGATACACTTTTCAAATGGAAACTAATAAAATAAATGATCGTGATAAAAAGGGAAAGAGTAAAAAAATAGCACACTGAGTACAAAAACATAACAATCAGTTTATTTATTTATTCATCTATACTCACTGAGAGGAAACACTAAACCTAGGTTTCACGTTAGCACATCAGTAAGGTGCATCTGTAATCTTAAGGGATTTGGTACTCTTTATGCACTTCGAACCCACGTTACAGTCTAAAATGACATTATTGAGTTATTTGAGTCGTGACTGACCTCATGAAGGACTAAGTTATCTATAATTGATTGGTCAAGTAATAGCCATATCAATGTTTGGTCCATTAGTGTTTATTGAATACTGTGGAAAAGTTCATATAGTCAATGATAGTGAAAACACATTTATTTATTTTCAAAAAATTCAGAATTCTTCTAGAATTATTTCTACTTGTAATAACATAATACTGATATGACGCTAAAATAAACAGATAAAAAAATTAATAATATAGAAACAGCATTTATACCTTGGAAATGATTTAATGACTGTTGACTAATAACAGTTGAATGTTTTTGTTGATTCGAAGCTGGAACAGAATGTGACTGGGACGATTGTTGATTCAAATGATGACGTGAAATTTGTTGTGACTGCTGAGACTGTTGTTGTTGACTATCTTGTTTTTGTGATTGCATATGACCTATTGTACTGATTTTACTAGTGTTTGTAGATGATGATGATGACGATGATGTACCATGAGAAGAAATTGCAGCGTTTGCTTTAGCTTGACGTTGAAGATGCTCTTCAACTAAATGCATTGGATTTCGTTCTATCTCATGTAATAATTTTTCAATTAATGGAAGTTGTGCAAATGATAGTACATTTAAATTTGCCTCTGGATGTTCTAAAATATCTTTCAATTTAATATATTTTCGAACACAACCAGCAGCTTCCGGTCTTTTGGATGCCAATTGAATTGCATGTTTTACAGTTGATAAGTAACGATTCGCTATATCAGTTAGACCGCTGACAATTTGAGCTTGAACTTCAGAAGATTTCACTTCACCACCTTTTTTATTGCTAGTAGTAGAGGTAGTCGTAGTAGTATTGGTAGTGTTAGAAGTAGTAGACGTTTCAGGTACTTTATTGTCTTTATCAGATATTTGTAGTACTTCACCTGTAATTTGAATTAAAGAAAAACAGTAGAAGTAAGTAATCATTGTAAGTTAGATTATTTTTTAACAGTAATCGCTTACTTGAATGATTTTCGTAAGGCTACGAAGTCAGTCAGTCAGTCAGTAACAACGTAGAACTTCGTACGTACGTACATCAGTTCGGGTTGCCACACCACATTAGCACAGAGATGCAGTTGTCGATTCAAATCCCGTAGTCGTAGAGGTAGCAAGAGTATAAGCAGTAATCGGGAAGATTAGGGTTAGAAGATGTTATTTAAAGAGTATAATCCAGTGAAATAAATTTGGAAAGAGTAAAAAAGGGACATGAAGAATTCAGAAGATTAGGATTTGGGAGAACATAATGAGTGGATGCACCTGCGCCATTGCAAACGATTTTGAGCCATGTCATTCAGGGTCTCTAACCATCGGTTACTATCATCTCGCGGTCCCCAACCAGATAGTCTACACATACCAACATGACTCAGTCCACTTGTCAGTGACTTCATGGACTTGTGCCATGTTTTGGTTTGGCCGCCTCTAGCTTTCTTCCAACCTACTCCTATACCACTGAACATAGCACGTCGAGGTAGTCGGTCGTTGGGCATACGTAACACGTGTCCCAGCTATCTCAACTGATGAAGTTTCATCAACTGATTTGCCATCCTTACCTAGTACCCGTTTCCTAACAACTGTGTAACTTACTTGATGGTCCCATGATATACGAGCAATGCTTCGAAGACACCTATGATCAAATACTAGTAACCTACGAATATCCTCTACTCTTACCGGCCATGTTTCACTGCCGTAAAGTAGGACAGGACGAACTGCTGCGCAGTAAACTCGTCCTTTGGTTGATAGACGGATATCTCACCTACGCCATAAATGACGCAAGTTGGCAAAAGCTAGTCGAGCCTTCTGTATCCGTGCTGAGATTTCGTCACACACAAAACCACAAGGGCTGATGAGACTTCCAAGATAAGTGAAGCGGTCGACACGCTCAACTATTTCACTTCATATTATTAATTCGGGTGTCGATGTAACCCAATCCTGAAGCAACATTTTGCATTTCGAGGGAGAGAATCTCATTCCGAACATGCTTGCATTGTTGCTTAGAATGGTCAGAAGACTCTGTATTTTGTCAGCGTCTTCACCAAATAAAACTATGTCATCAGCATATTCTAAGTCAACAAGTGAACCTCCCGGTACAAGTTCAACCCCTGGAAATTTAGATGAGGAGAGTGTTATCTCTAAAAGTACGTCGACCACAAAGTTGAACAAGAATGGGGAGAGTGGACAGCCCTGACGAACACCACTTGAGGTAATCAATTCTGATGACAGTTCGCCATAAGCTCTCACTCGTCCAGTTGTGTTTGAGTAGAGAGCCTGTATACGGTTAATGTACTTCTTTGGTACTCCTTTCAGTGACAAACACTGCCATAGAACCTCACGATCAACAGAGTCCAATGCCGCTTTAGGGTCGAGAAATACTACCATTGTGGGGCGTCTGAATGTGTGTCTGTGTCCTAGAACCTGACGTAGTGTGAATATCTGATCTATACAACCACGTCCAGGTCGAAAACCAGCCTGATTTTCTCTAGTCTGCTCTTCACGAGCTTTGGTTAGGCGTCGAAGTATTATTGAAGCTAATATTTTAGACACTATATTAGTCAAACTGATTCCTCTGTGATTGTCACAAGATGACTTTTGTCCTTTCTTATAGACTGGCACAGTCAGTGATTGAGACCAGTCAGATGGGATTACGTCCAGTTCCCAAATTCTACCTAAGACCTCGGTTAATCTCATTGCTAATACTGGACAACCATCCTTAAAAATCTCAGGAGTAAACCTGTCAGGGCCTGCTGCTCTCCCTCGTTTCAGATTTCCTATGGCTTTTTCAACTTTGTAAAGGGACGGAGGACCTACATTAACTTGCCATTCAGGTTGACTGGAGATCGTGGGAAACCGAAGTGTGGCTGAAGGCCAGTTGAGCTGATCCCTAAAGTGTTCTGCCCATCGATCCAGTCTCCTGGATTGAGAATGAATAATATGTCCGTCTTTCTCTGAGATTGTTTCGCTAACGGTCGGGTTCCTAATTCCGGTTTCTTTAACGAGTCTGAAAAGGCTACGAAACAATAGATCTAAACTAAAATATATAAAAGCTGTATTCCAACATTGTGTTCACGAATGTATTTTTGTGTACAATCGAGTTGTATCCGTGTTATCATTTTAAAAGATGTACTTCTGTGATATAGACAAGTTTTATTGACGCCACTACAGAGGGCATTATACCGCTTATTATATGGCGACAACTGGACAGTTGGGTGGAAAAAGCAAAAGTAGTCAGCAAATAAAACACATCTGTAGATTGAAGAACGCTTGTAGACTTGTTAGTCAATAATACATAACTTAGAATCCAGCACATATGTTCAAATTGCCTTACCACAATAGCAAAGAGAAATAAAATTATTTCAAGACAGATTACAGGTAAAAGTAGTAACAATGTCAGTAATGGCAGTACGAAAGATTAGGAATGGAAAAATAAAAAGGTACAGGAAGGACTTCAGGACTCAAATTATAAAGGACAAGGACTGAATGCACCTGCGTCATTGTGAATGATCTTGAGTTATCACTTGAAGTCTCAGGTCACTGGTTACGATAATCACATGGACCGCAACTAGATGATTTGTACCTAATAGCACGGCTCAGTCTAATTCTTAATGACTTCAGGGACTGATCACATGTCTTGGTTTGGATGCTCCTACTCTCCCTCCAAAGTATTCTCATACCCCCGAATGCCCTGGTACGGCCGAGAGTGGGGTGAGTCCGCTCTCCCTCTCGAAATACTCTCACACGGCCGCGCATATACAGCCTCTGCCAGGGAAGTCCTACTCATTGCCTTCTCGTGGCGGGGGTGTTGTTTACGAAAATGAGAGGACGATAAGCGAATGTCCGGCACTTTAACCGGATCCCAAACCAATGGTGCACATGGGCTCCAGTATCCTACGGGAACAAATGGCGTATGAACCAATCTTGGTCACCGGCTACCATGGGATTGCATCTCCTTACGATGTTCCACTGCCTTGTGGGTTAGACCTTTAGGTCAAAGGCTCGGGGAATGGCCCCCTAAGAAAACCACCTGCTTCGGTTTGGGCACCCGGGCAGTATCACAGCCCACACACAAACGATGAACTCTATGTCTTTGGCAACTACTTTTATCGCTCCGAAAAACAATCAGTCGATTCAAATAATTATCATTACTATTATTGTCATTATTAATACTATTATTATTACTATTATTGTCGTTATTATTATTATTATTATCATTATTATTATTATTATTATTTCCCACATTATTCACTCTCTTTTATACTTATACAGCGGCTCGTCTTCGGTGGAAATTCGACTGTATCTAAACGTTCTCGAGTCACTGTCCGGTTGAAAATTGTATGTTACCACCGAATATGAGTACTGAAGCAGTTTTTCTGAAACCACGTGCACCATTCAAACTGGCTGCCTTCAACGTTCGCACACTTATACAGGTCAGACAACAGATAGGGCTGGTTATGTCTGTGGAGCGTCTTAATATCGACGTTTGTTGTCTATCCGAGACCCATATTCAAGACTCTGGTGAAGTACTACAAATTCGCTCTCCATCTGTCACTTCAAAAAGCTTGTTTTACGTGCGCTTATCCGGGGACCCTGTGGCATCTTCGTCTGGTCTTGCTGGCGTTGGTGTCGCACTAAGCGCTAGAGCTGAGGCAGCACTAATCGATTGGATCCCCATTAACAGTCGGTTATGTGCTGTTAGATCAGAAAGTTCCATCAAAGTGAGAAGAAATCGGCGTGAGAAACGATGTCTTTTCGTCATATCCGCCTACGCTCCGACAGATTGCAGCCCGGATGCAATCATGAATGAGTTTTACCACCAGTTAACTGTTCTCCAGAAAGTGCGTTCGACAGATATTGTAGTACTAGCCGGAGACTTGAATGCTCAGGTCGGGCGTCTAGGCACAGAAGAGAGTCGTTTAGGTGGCCGATGGGGACTCGTTGGTCGCAGGTCAGATAACGGGAACCGTCTACTGCAACTGTGCACAGACCACAACCTGTTTCTGGCTAGCACTAACTTTCGGCACAGTCATCGCCGATGTGCCACCTGGCGTCCTCCCTCTACATTTCAAGCCTGGACTCAGATTGATCACATCGCGATCAGCTACCGCTGGCGTGGTTGTGTACAAGACTGCCGCTCCTTTTGAAGTACCTATCTGGACTCTGACCATGCCTTGGTCTGCGCCAATCTTGCCTTACTTTTCAGTGGCCAACGAAGTGACCGCCATCAATGGATTGATATTAGCAAGCTGGTTGCAACTTCTGTTGCTAGCCTCTAGGCTAGCTACCACTCCACCGAAAAGTATAGATAAGCATTGGTTGCAATTGCATGACGCCATGAAAATGGTGGGAACAGTCAGTTGTGGGTTTGCGAAACGTCCCGCTTTTAAGCACTGGGTTTCTTCTGGTTCCTTACAACTCATTGAAGCCCGTCGGTCTACTCCGGGTGACCGTGAGTTTGACCATAAACGAAGGATGTTATGTAAAGGAATTGGGCAAAGCTTGCGTAAGGACCGAGAAGCCTGGTGGTCGAAGCGTGCTAATGAGCTGGAAGCAGCAGCTGCATCTGGTAACTACAGGAAGCTCTTCCAACTCATCTGAGCCACTGGCAGCAAGAAGTCTGGTGTGAGTGAAACAATCTGTGAGGATGATGGGATGCCAACCACTAACATCCATCGACGTCTTGGACGATGGGCAGAATTTTTCGAAGGGCAGTTCAACTGGCCTGCTGCTCCGGCAACATCGGTCAGACTGTCCTGCCCTCCATGGCCGGTGACGACTGATCCACCAAACGAGGAGGAAGTCCGCAAGGAACTCCAACTCTTGAAGCGTTACAAATCACCTGGCCCAGATGACTTACCTACGGCTCTTTTTAAAGATGGTGGTGACTGTTTGACTAAGGAATTGACGACGTTGTTTACAAAGGTCTGGGAACTAGAGAGTGTGCCAACGTCATGGAATGAGTCGATAGTTGTCCCTATCTTTAAAAAGGGTTCATGTCGTTCCTGTAACAACTATCGGGGGATAAGTCTACTTACGATTGCGTCCAAGCTATTGGCTTCCGTCATACTTCGTAGGTTGTTCAAAACCCGAGAAAGATTGACTCGCGAGGAGCAGGCTGGGTTTCGTTCTGGTCGAGGATGTATTGATGATATCTTTACCCTCCGCCAAATGTTAGAACACCGCCATACTTATCAAAGGCCAACAATCGTAGTGTTTCTTGACATCAGGGCTGCCTTCGATTCGTTGGACAGGACTGTTCTCTGGGATTGTCTATTGAAGAAGGGTGTGCCTGAGAAGTTTATTAACATCCTAAAAGCCCTATATACAAACACCTCAGGCAGAGTGAGGGCATACAAACACCTTTCTTCATTGTTCCATTCGAGCAGTGGGGTTAGGCAGGGTTGCCCAATCTCACCATTCCTCTTCGACTTTGCCATCGATGACATTCTGGAAACAGCTCTGATGAATGTAAGTAATGGTGATGTGGATCTGTTGCCTGGAGAAAGACTTCTCGACCTTGAGTATGCGGACGATATTGTCTTACTGTGCGATAATGCCCAAGGCATGCAATGCGCACTTAATCAGTTGGCAATCAGTGTCCGTAGGTATGGTATGTGCTTTGCACCTTCGAAGTACAAAGTACTCCTACAAGACTGGCAGGATTCCAATTCTGTACTCTTCCTGGATGGTGAGCAGATAGACGTAGTCGAGAAGTTCGTGTATCTGGGTAGCTGCATAAGTGCTGGTGAGGGTGTGAGTGATGAGATCAATGCACGTATAGTGAAAGCCAGAGCGGCTTATGCCAATCTGGTCTATCTGTGGCGCCTTCGTGATGTTAGTCTGACTGTAAAAGGTCGGATCTACAACGCGTCGGTGAGAGCAGTTTTGCTCTATGCTTGTGAAACCTGGCCTCTCAGAGTTGAGGACGTTAGACGACTCTCTGTGTTCGATCATCGTTGTCTCCGAAGGATTGCTGACATTCAGTGGCAACACCATGTCAGTAATGCAGAGGTTCGGCATTGTGTGTTCGGGCACAGAGATGATAATGCAATCGATGTCACCATCTTGAAACACCGACTTCGGTGGCTTGGACATGTTCTCCGAATGTCGTCCCAGAGAATTCCACGTCGTGCATTATTTGCCGACTCTGGGACTGGTTGGAAGAAGCGGAGAGGTGGTCAGTGCATGACATGGTGTCGTGGCATGAAAGAAAGCTGCAAAGGACTGGCTTCTGTTAGTCCTTCACGGCTCCCTGGTTGGGGTCCGAGAGATGGTGCAACACAGTGGCTAGAGACGTTATCAGATATGGCTCAGAATAGAAGCCAGTGGCGATCCTGCTGTAACCTTTTTTTACTTTCTTCATAAAAAGTGGTTATGTCTCCCTCAACTGAAAGATTTCTTCTGATTGTACCTTTCCGTTCCCTCATTTCTACCATACCACCTTAGACCAATCTCTTCGTTATTGTTCTCTTTTTTTTTGCGCTCCTTAGCTTTCTTTTTCTATTTCTCTTCGGATTCTCATTGTTTTGTGTGGCGCATATATATTGGCGCTCTCTTGTACCAATATTCATGTGTCCAAATAAATAAATAATAAATAATTCTCATACCAGACAGCATCACCTGTCGAGGTAGGTGGTGGTTGGGTATATATGTATTACATGTCTCAACCACTCTAGTTTAGTAGCATACATTAATCCGTTACGACTCCAATTAGGTGGTTTAAGAGAACTCGCTCGGAAAACAAGTCAGCGGTGACTCAGTTACCACCTGTGTTGTTTTTGAACAGTAAGATTGCTCTAATAATTGAACAAAATCCTTATTGGTTGTGTTCTCGAATAAACTGTATTGTTCCAAACTTAATTATGTATTGCATGAATTTCCGTTTTCCATTTTTTTTTACATGGAACGCTTCTTGGTAAACCTGTTGTATCAAAAAAATCTCTCTATATGATGGTAATATCAGAAATAGTTAAATAGCCAATCCGTTTGATTCTATGTCAACCGAACTGTTGAATAGAATTCTCATTCTTATTTGGAAAACTATTTTTAAAAATATGATTTGCTTGACTAATAATTTACAATTTATTTTATAATAATATTTGCGACAAATAACAGATATTTGTCCGGTAAAATTACTTAATGAAAAGATGATAACAATAGTTAAACGGGAGTGAGATTATACTCATTATAACTAGGGAGTACAAAAAGTAGTTTAATTATCATAATTTCTTAAAATAGCATCGGACCTCTGTCTAAAAAACGATATTAACTTTCGAAAAGGTTGTGCTTACCATTAATCTGATGAATGATTTTGGCTTACACCCCCCCCCAAAAAAAAAGAATTATCAATCACGCAAGAATCAGTGAAGTTCACGCTCGAGTAAATTAGCAGTCTAATGAAAAAGTTAACATTTAAGTAACTACCTTGTGCGAAACTTTGGACTTTTGAAATTACAGGTGTAGGATTTGATTGTATAGTTGGTCTAGGTTGATACTGTTGAGTGACTGGTACATTGGATCGTGTTTGAAGTTGACTATTAGGAATAAGACCAACTTTAGGTGATTGAGCTAAACTTGGACGGATAATTTTTGTTTGTGTTCCCGTGGGATTTGGTATTACTGTGAGAACAGGTTTAGACACGGTTGTTGAAGAAATAGATAATGATGAATTGTCATTAGCACCGTGTAGTGAATGTTGTCCAGAATTAATATGAGATAATTCACTAGTTGTACCTGATGGATTAATAACTGTGAGGCAACCAGAACTAGACGTTCGAATAAGAACAGCGTTTGGGCTAGATGTGGCCACTGCAGAAGAAACAATAAAATCGACAGAGACATTGATAGTGTTCGCAGAAAAATAATGTGGTTATCGTCAAGCTGATACTCTACTCTGGGAAGTAATTAATTATTGGGAATATCGCGGGAAAGTGAGATTGTTGTAACTGAGATCATTATTGGTATCATTTCTCAGATATTTGCTATCCTTATTCGTCAATATACATATTGAAATAAAATTATAGTATGCCACTGCAGTTAAATTTAAAATCAGATGATACTGAGCATAAGATAAGCTTCGATATTGCAGTGAAGATTTAACGAACTTTGTCCAACCATAAAATATTAGGTATAATAGTCCGTGATATTATCAAGTTAACAGTCATCGGTAACAAAAATGGTAAGAAATGACACGAGAATAACTTACTTTTCAGAGTAAAATAGACTATAAATGCAAGTACCTTAATTGTTCACTACAAAGTTATGCTTTCAAAGCACAGATGGCGGCGATATATTAACAATCAAGCATAATACATGGTTGATAAGTTTATAAACTTGGTTTATGAAGGACTTTTAGTGATATAATTCGCACAGGTTAAGACTGATGAGTTAGCAGTTAGAGGGTTAGGATTTCTCATCCGTTAGATCTGCCTCTCACCTCATTCTGTGTTTCAGTGCAAATGGGCAGTATCATTAGCTCTTATTACACAGAGAATATCCTACAAAACCGAGTACATTAATTAGCACATGGGAAACGAGTTACATTATTGGTTAATTTATAACTTTAAAAATTACTTTAAATTTAATGAAACTTTCACTTTGATTGTGTATTATGGCTACCAATAGCAAATCATAAGTATTTACATAAAGCAGCCCCAAAACAGAATGGCTAGTTCAGAAGACTGGAGGATCTAAATGTATAATCAGGACAAAATATTACAATATTTCCTACATGAACGCGATAGTGTGATTTCTGAACAACATTTTCAATATAAAAACTTTCAAATGACTGTTGATGAATGTGGGTTGTATAAAGTAACTACGATCTCAGTAACAGTGATCTGGGATATCACTTGTAACAATGAGTCTCTACAGTTTAATTTGTTTCTTGAATACAAGTGACTTCTAGTATACCTCATCACTTATGTGCTAATATGGGAAATATGTTGAGAACTATTGGTTGTCTGAGTGAAGTTGAGTCATAATATAAACTACAGGAATTGTGGTTCCGAATCGGAAATACTGGGATTATAGAGAGAAATAAGTTTTGTAGAGTTTGTAGATACATTTGAATAACGAGTGTTGATTACGCAGTAAACATAGGTATATTATTTCATAACAGAATAATTAATCAACTAAATGGATCTATTTCATTTCTCCTAAATCTTGCTGTGATGTGATAAAAATCCAAGTCCTATTTAAAAGGAGCTAGTGATTGATTTCATAAAGAAAATTAAAAATTCAAAGTTGTTTGATTATTGATCATGATTGTAAATGTGAAAGAGAAAATGTAACTAGCTAGGATAATGTGAATGATAAACTGGGCTGGGAAATGGAACATTAATTGACAGGGCTTTATGTAAAAACTTTTTAAATCCATACGAATACGTAAGCGGGTTTTTGTGTGTATTTTTTTTAAAGCATCAACAAAACGGAGATTACATTTATGATGTTTTAGAAGGGCGTTTTGTGGAGATTTTAGTAATTTCAATTGTTGAGATCATGAGTCAATTGAAATTATGATGTTTCGTTTATTTTTATCAGTGATAAAGTATCTCACCAACAAAATGAGTTCATTTTAAAGTAGACATAAGTATATTGCAGGTATTAAATCATAGGTGTTTTAAAGGAATTGTTCGAACATTTTGAAGTCACCAGGTGAGTAGTCCTGATTCCAGTCGGATAAAACTAGATCAAGATGGCAAATCAACTGATGGGGTTGGTATAAACTCTTACAAACGTTTAATCAAGCAGTCTTAGCTGGCTAGGAGAACAGTAAGTTGGCGAAAATTTTAAACCAAAACAGATAAGATTTCCAATGTTACCAACTATTGCTTTGACCAGCATAATATATGAAAGTTTCCATACTGAGGTTCACAGAATAGCCGTGGTCAGTAGTACAGACGCATTTGTCATTTTTCTTTATATCAAAAATATGGAATCATTAAGTGCATTTTATTCACTGTCACAGACCGTTTCTCATTTCACATCTATTTTTTCTACTGTAGTTAGGGAACATTGGTATCATCCCTTTGAATTTCATTTTGTCAATTTCTTTTCACTGTCCAGAAGGATGATACAAACTATAGCAGCTATAGTCAACATATATAATTTTATCAGATCCTAAATCATGTCTGTGTCTTTATCTAAAAAAATTGGAAATAAAATTACAAATTTTGCAAACAGTTAAAATACAGGCATTTTTTTATTACCGAATGAGCAGTTTTGTGTAAAACAACCCAATTGACAAACAGACAAATAACCATTTATTTGTAAGCCGTTTTAACTTTAATAAAAGACAAACACATTTACAGTTAGAAGTGCCCATCGTATACGTATATTGGTAAATTATCTAGAGCAGATTAAATACATAATATTCTTTGGTTCGAGTGTATGAGCGTCATAGTTATTATTTTCGGGACAATAATAATATGATCTCAATAAAAATATAAGAAAGCTTAACAATCCCTACAAACCTATACTGATAATCATCAAGTGTACACCAGTGGCTAGTTTCGAGAGATAAGTTTCGCAGTTCCAGTGAGAAGCCGTGACCAGTAGAGTTCAACCGTGGCGAGCATGAGATAGTTACCTACAAAAAAACAATGAAAGATGGTCGCCGAATATTGTGAATTGATTGAAGTTATACATTAACACTGTTGAATACCGACTCCGTGGATTAAAGGGTAATCGTTTGCGCATGAAACCGAAAGTCCTGAGTCCGAGTCCCGCGTGTGGGATCGTGAATGTGCATTCCTGAGGAGTCCCATACTGGGACGAACCGGTCATACAGTGCTTCCAGGTTTTTAATGATAGTCTAACACCAATCAATTCATGATCACAATGACAAACATCGTATTTTACCAGAAAACAAGCAGCAAAATTGGAAAAAAAATAAATAATCAACAGTTAAAAAAACTTCACCATTATATATATATATATATATATATATATATATATATATATATATATATATATATATATATATATATATATATATATATATATATATATATATATATATATATATAATATATATATGCTTCGCGTTAACACGTTAATCTTGCATTAGCAACAGCAGTGAGAATAGTGTAAGCATCGCCAAAAAATAAACACCAACAACACTTAATAAAAAATAAATAGCACCAGTTCAAAGTAGTAAACAAATCGAAATTATGGCACTTAACACAACTTATTAATCCACTGTAAATCTGCTGTCAATCATTCATTTTGGAATCAAATGCACATACACAGACAAACAGATAGATATACACAAAAACTTGTCTAAATCAAGTACAGATAGGCAACGTAGATCTTGGATTAAAAAAAAAACAATAATATGTGCACTGGTCGAAATGTTAGCATGATCATCATTACAATTTTATTAATAGTTGGCATTAGAATTTTTAATTTTACTTCAATAAAAAAGCTCTTTCATACAATTTTGTTATTCACAAAGAAATAAATAAAGGTCAACAGTAAACTCATTTGAATGGTAAATTTGGTTTTAAATCGGTTAACTAACTGCACTAAGAGCACCTACCACGAATACGTCGTCCAGATAGACGTTCTGTTCAATATAAAAGATAATTTGGGTAGGAAATGTGAATGATTAACGGAAATACTTCTTTTTTGTGAAATAAATAATTTTACATTGTTACTCAGAATAGCGACTGTATTCATTAAAATAAATTATATTCATTTTCATCATATGAGTTAACTTTTGATTTGTTTTTTAAAAAAAAGACTAGTAGTTTATCGGTAGAAATCCAGGTTCTGGTTTCGATTTATATCGTTTTTTTTTGTCTTAGAAACAAAGTAAGATTCTATTGACCAGATATTTAAAAATAATTAACATCATGAATATACAATAATAATAGTCAAATAAAAATGAATGAATAATAACTGCTGTATGAGCTTACAGAAATAAGGAAGAATAAATGAACTGATTTTGTACAACGGACAATTAAACTGTACAATGCTTATATATACATTTGAGAAATAGAACGTTTCAGTTCTTTAGCCTTATACCCAGAAGCTTCTCTTATTACATAAAAAGCACAAAAATCTATAATATTTATGATACAGTTAAAAGCACTAAGGGATTACTTTCGAATGACTAGAGGAAATGATATGAGATTATTTCACTATCTAGTTTAAACGATGTAAAACAATGTATAGATGAAACATATAGTGGTTTCATGGTTAAACAATGAAATTTTCAAACAACAAATAACAGGTTTAAACTCTACTCCACCCAATTTTGTTTGGGAAACCGGATAAAGTTATTGGTTCTGACAAAAGGCGTGAAGTTGAAACAAACCGCATAAACCTGTGTACCTGCTAAGTCAGTTATATCAGAGAACAGTGACAAGACTGTGATGAAATAAAAGGTTCAACTACTCAGTGATAAAAAATGTTCTAAGAAATATTAAAACAATAATTCGACACTTCTCTGTGTTTACTTTAACCTGAATTCATATTTGCACTAAAAAGACTTCTGAAAATTTATTAACAGATATAGTTTATAAAGAGGTAGTCAACTTTTTACGACACAAAACAAAGGTTTTATTCACCCTTGGAGAGACCTTTGATTAGATAATCTCTTATTACTAATTTTATCGTGTAAAACGATATTTTCGTATTAAGTGAGTACAAGACATGAAAATTTTTTTAAATAATAAATACCAAAAAAATAGATCCAATTCTTGTTTTTTAGAAATTCGCATAAAATATCTTATATTGAGGTGGGAATACATTATAATATACAAAGTGTGCATATGTTATGATCATAGGCCATGCACACAAATAGATCACCACTTTCACAAAACTCTTTCTCAACATTTTAATGAAGTAGCTGACTATGAATCTTGTAGATGAAAAATTCAATAGGTTTGATGATGATGACTATACCATCACTACTAATAGTAATAATGATCGTAGTAATGATAATAATAGTCAGTTTGTGTGGTGACAACAAACTACTCTTCCAACTCTATAAATATTACAATTAATGCATTAAAATAACTATACATACAAAGAGACAAAAGAAAAAAATTCACAAGTATAAATTAGAACTGAGTAATCAATTCATACATATAAAAAACACATACCGTAGACGCCGTCCTGTTGACAACTTGGTTTAATGGATGTAGATGATCCCATCGTTTGAGAACTGAAATAAATTGAATCATATAAGTGAAATAAAAAAGACAACCATAAAATACGAAGAGCTGGTTAGGGTTACTAAAAACAGCACCAATAGTGATTATCATAATCAAAATTAAAGTTCACTAATTTAATCTGACAATAGAATTCATCCTTATGGCTTGATGTGATTGCTAAAAGCTGGAAATATATTGAAATCTAAGAAAAATCGAATAATTGTTTCATCCTAAATTGGGTAAGATTTGTTGGGAGGAAATATCCACAACTCGCTATAGAAGATCGAAATTAGGAATTTTAGGACTCTCACAATAAGAAAAATGTTATTCAGAAAGGATAAAAGAAGACAATAGTACGTTAATGTGACCTCTATGGATATCAGTCATCGATACAAACCAAGATCGATGACAGTAATTAAAAAAATTCAATGTTCAACCAAATCGCGATCTTATAAAGATCTCTGTTCAACTAAAAATTTAAAATTATTTGAAGTTTGTAATGTATTTTATTACAATAAGAAGCCTATTTAGAACTTTGACATTTGGAAATCTTTTCTTTATTCAATTCAAAATAAAGAATATTAATTTTGATGGTTGTCAGTATACAATCCGAATAGAATCCCAGTACCAGTCAATAAAGTGTTAGTCATAGAAGTGAATCTTATTAAAAAGTTATTTCTTTTACGAAAAGGAAACAGTCAGACAACCTTTGAACACTAAAGAGAGTTGAATAGATATTACATTTACATTTGTGAATTTCTCAGCAGAGCACAGGGTTTCAATTAGGGGCGGCCAAACCAAAACGTGGCATCAGTGCCTGAAGACACTAACTTCTAGTCTGAGCCATGTTGGTAGATGCAGACTACTTGGTTGGGGTCCGCGTGACTTTCGTAACCAATGGTTGGAGACTCTTGGTGACATGGCTCAGAATCGATCACAATGGCGTCGGTGTATACACTCCCTGTCTTTCCTTAAACTAAGAGATTAAAATCACTTCATATCTTTCTTTCTACGAACCAATTCTTTCTTCTTGTACTATATCTCTATATGCTATCTTTCTCTTATATATTACCACCACTGCTATGAATCTGGTGTCCATCTTGTTGTGCTGATGGGGTATGGCAACCTGGACCGATGCACATATGTGCCTGGTCCTACGTTGTAGCTGACTGACTGACTGACAGGGTTTCAATAGTATTTTACCTATTCCCGATTTGTGATGAGTAATATGAAATTATGAAGGAAGTCAGTACTGTATATGATGTTAGATAAAATTATTTGGAGATTATTTTTACGATACTAGCTACTGTTGCATGTACTAAAATGACTAAAACTAGATTCGTACACAAAATATGTACATTTTATGTATGAGAGATTGATTTGTAATTAAATTTAACTCATTAAGAACAAGTTTATGTACTTGACTTTGAGGCACATTTTTCCTGAGGCCAAGTTATACTATCCAGGAATACGAACTGAAGTAGATAATTAGGGGTTCTGACTTGTGATTTACAGGTTGGAAGCAAAGTGGTTTAACCACTAAACCACCTCTCCAATTTGCCGACTACCCCAAGTTTGTGTGTAACTACATGTTGTTTGGATATAATCTCAGTACTGTCACACCACTACAGCTCTTTTTCTCAGCAAGTTAACGCGCAATGTTTACTACTGAATTTCAAGGGCGAAGATTAATTCAGATCTGTTGTTATAAATAGCTCCAAAGTTATATTAGAAACTCCTAATTCTTTAAATTACCACAAGTTCCATAAAACACGAATAATGCCTAAAGAGTTGTGGTTAGTCGGAGCCATGTACCCTTCAGCATGGGAAACCAAAATCCTGCAAATCAACTGGTACCATAAACCTAACTTAATACAAACGTGCATTATTTCGTCTTACTTAGTTTACCTATCCGATCAGAGCACTGAAACTTACTTGATTATTGATTGTCGTGAAAGAGACTGATCAGCAGATGATAACGAAGTTATTTGTGAAGTATTTTGTGACTGAGGTTGTTGGAATATGAGGACCGGTTGTTGTCCAGATCCTGTGGTACATTGAATAATTTGACCAGACTGAGTAACTGCAACACCCGAAGGTAAAAAAACCTAAAATCATAGGTAAAATTTCCGTCGAAATATGGTTGTAAAATGATCGACGGATATTATATATTTTAAAATTACAATACAGAAGGAAGCGATAACCGACTATGTACTTATGATGGAAACTTAAGGGTAGTTGAACTGGGTAGAAAACTGGTAGTTGATGTGATAATAAACAAAACCAGTCTATACAACTACTACAACATATACATTCAGATGAATGAAAACCCATAGATACATATCACAGTCTAATAATAAAAAGAACAACATAATTTTTATTATTAATTCAAAACAATAAATCTTAACCGATTCTAAATGAGTTATCAGGAATATTGAATGTCAATTTTAGTGTACTCTGAAAAAGAATAAGTTATAGGACGACCAATGACATGTGTTTCATCCATAACTTACATCAGCCCCCCCCCCAGAAAATGTAAGTAGATTTAATATAGGGGATTTGTGGAGATGGTAGTATTTTCACTGTTAAAATCAAAACAGATCTTAGCTAGATCGCCACTGAAAACCTGGAAGCACTGGACGGCTGTAAACAGATTTGTCAGATTCAGACTAGTTGATGTTTGAAAAAGGATTCATTGGTACCTCAGTGGATGTTTTGAATTTCCCATAACAGTTGTACGATTATAGGATAAAAGAATACTGCATGAAGCAAAAATAACTGCTGAGTGAAACCGATCTGTTGAATAACACAATGAAAAGATGGAATCTGAAAACTGAATAAATGATCATATATTTTGCAAGTTATTTTGACCATTAATAATCACACCTGAATTGTAATAAAAGTAAAGCATTCCGAAGAGCAATTACGTTTCCAAAACAGGCTTAAATCAAACTTACTGTGTGAAACAAAAAAAAGCTACTTTAACACCTAAACCAACATAATACGAATGGAATCAAAGCAAGTGTTAAAGCAAACAGCTTCAGATGAAATTTAAAATATTTACGTTTATGGTAATTTTCCTTCAAATATAAAAGCTGGATCATATTATGTTAAACCTGGATGAAACAAGTAGAAGATTTATCGTATGTTAAAATAATTGATCTGATTGGTAAGTATTGGTGATTAGTATGAGCCCTTTTGCATGTATTAAAATGTCTAGTTGGTATACATCATAAATGGAGTGAATAATAATTGACGACAGTGATCATGACTTTGGTTTCTACACTACTGAGCCATAATTCATACAATATGGGAATTGCGATTAAAATATAGTAATGGACTTTTACTATAAGATGATCATTAAGTCAGTAACTATGATTATCATATTGCCCCCAAATGCCCTGGTATGGCCGAGAGTGGGGAGAGTCCGCTCTCCCTCTCGAAATGCCCTCACATGGCCATGCTTATATAGCCTCTGCCAGGGAAGTCCTACTCATTGCCTTCTCGTGGCGAGGGTGTTGTTTACAAAATTGAGAGGACGAAAAGCGAATGTCCGGCGCTTTAGCCGGATTACAAACCAATGGTGCACATGGGCTCCAGTATCCTACGGGAACAAATGGCGTATGAACCAATTTTTGGTCACCGGCTACCATGGGACTGCATCTCCTCACGATGCTCCACTGCCTTGTTGGTTAGACCTTTAGGTCAAAGGATCGGGGTGTAGCCCCCTGAGAAAGCCACCTGCTTCGGTCTGGGCACCCGGTCAGTATCACAGCCCACACACAAATATGATGAACTGTCGATAATTATGGAAAAAACTTTTCTTGCTTCGATTAACAATCATACGATTCACATTATTATTATTATTATTATTATTATTATTATTATTATTATTATTATTATTATTATTATTATTATTTACTACGTCGTTTATTCACTCTCTTTTATTTCCACTCTGTTTATCCTTATTCTTCGACTTATACAGCAGATCGTCTATGGTGGAAATTCGACTGTATCTAAACGTTCTCGAGTCACTGTCCGGTGGAAAATTGTATGTTACCACCGAATATAAGTACTGAAGCAGTTTTTCTGAAACCACGTGCACCATTCAAACTGGCTGCCTTCAACGTTCGCACATTTATGCAGGTCAGACAACAGATAGGGCTGGTTATGTCTTTGGAAAGCCTTAATATCGATGTCCGCTATCTATCCTAGACCCGTATTCAAGATTCTGGTGAAGTACTACAAATTCGCTCTTCATCTGTCGCTTCGAAAAGCTTGTTCTACGTGCGCTTATCCGGGGACCCTGTGGCATCTTCGTCTGGTCTTGCTGGCATTGGTGTCGCACTAAACGCTAAGGCTGAAGCAGCACTAATCGATTGGATTTTCATTAACAGTCGGTTATATGCTGTTAGATTAGAAAGTTCCATCAAAGTGAGAAGAAATTGCCATGAGGAACGATGTCTAGATGTATAGATGTATAGATGCAATCAGTGTCACCATCTCGAAACACCGACTTCAGTGTCTTGGACATGTCCTACGAATGTTGTCCCAGAGAATTCCACGTCATGCATTATTTGCCGATGCTGGGACTGGTTGGAAAAAGCGGAGAGGTGGTTAGTGTATGACATGGTGTCGTATTATGAAAGAAGTCTGCAAAGGACTGGCTTCTGTCGGTCCTTTACGACTCCCTGGCTGGAATCCTAGAGATGGTGCAACACAGTGGCTAGGGACGCTATCAGATATGACTCAGAATAGAAGCTAGTGGCGATCCTACTGTAACCTTCTTTTACTTTATTCATAGAAAATGGTTGTTTCTTCTTTAACCGAAAGAATTCTTTCGGTTATGCCTTTCCGTTTCCCCCATTATTATTATTATTAATTATTATTATTATTACTATTATTATTATTATTACACTACCTTGCACTAATTTGTGGTCGTTATTGTTTTTTTTACGCTCCGTACACTCTTTTTTCTCTTCCCATTCTCATTGTTTTGTGTGGTGCATATATATTTGGTGCCCCCTTGTACCAATATTTATGTGTTCAAATAAATAAATAATAAACTATGATTAAGTGGGGAAAAATCAACAGTATACAGGGTGTCACAAAACACAATTGGGATTTCAGTGAAATACAATGATACTTCAAAATGTTCATATAAAGTTAATGTAACAGACTAGTAACATGTCAGACGTTAAAACCTTTACAATATATGCCGCGTAAATTGACAAAAGAAGAAAGATATTAAGATGGATAATGAAGTAAGAAAGGATATAAGGATAACATAGTTTACGAGAGGATTTTCAAAAGAACGGAGAATATGTTATTAGCACAGATCAAACTGTCAAGTAGTTCAATTCTTAGCCAACAGGTCCTAAGATACCCTGTCCTAAATTTCATAAATCAGACAGTATGTAGGTAACTAATCTGTATATACTAAAAACAAACTGAAAGCTATAAAACCCCTTTACAAAATATTTCAATAACTTAAGTTCAAGATAGATAATGATTACATAACGATGTTATGAACAAATATTATCAAAATTAATCATTAAGATAAGATAATTAGATTTTTATTAGGACTTACACGATTAGGTATTGTGGAAACAGGAATACAATGTGCTGACGACGCTCCAAGAATTGTACCATCCTGTTGAATAATACCCTTTTGAGAATATGATTGATATTGTGGTTGAATAGGATGTGAACTAATAGTATACCTTGGACGATTATGATTTATTTGTATATTATTAATATTATTAGACATATTTTGTGACATAACTTGAAGGATTTGAGGATGTGATTGAATTGTAGTAGGTCCAGATCGTGGTAAAGAGATTATCTGAGTATTCATTAGTTGTTGTGGTTGCTGTCCACTCAATTGAAAGTTACTTCCAACGGACTGCATTTGAATATTAGGATCGTTTGGAGGTACATGAACATTAGCTGGTGTACCCGAACTGGTAGAACCTAAATAAAAAATAAAAAGAATAATTGTTTCATAAAAATAGTTGATTTGATCCATTTAATCAAGTTACAGCTCTTAGTAAATATATTGAGTTATTCAAACTAAATACAATAATCATGATGTCGAGTCAATTCGCTTAATAGCCATAATCAAAACATCAAATGAGAGTTAAATGATGTAATTGTACGTAAGTATCACTATATAGGATAACGGTTATTATCTGTTGATTAGTTAACTACCAATTCATTGTTTACATGATTTACTAATTAATTAAAGACCACACGTCTAAAATATTTTCCACGAAAACATTACTTTTCAACATACCAACCATAAATTCAACAGGGATATTGTTACTAGCCACTCAACCAATGTCGGATGTATTTTAAGGAAAAAATGTATAATTATTGAGTGAAGTATAGCACCAAACAGCATATTCAAACTCAGGTTAGAGAAACCGAAACATGAGATGTCTGATTAGCTCTCTTGCGGTTGATTGTACCGAAAGTATGCTTGGATTCATTGTCAATAACTAAACCATTCAATGACATATTTCAGCACCTAAAAATACTCTTTATTTAGAAATCATGGATGGACCATATTCAAAACGAATTCTGTTGACACCACAACAAAATGGATTAAGGACTGTCAAGTTGTATGAAATTTAAACTGTACGATATGCAAATATTTTGTTCGGATGGTTATAAGTGAGTTGTCTAATTAATTTGACTTTTCGAGTATGCCATCGATAAACTACAGGTTTAACAAGTAAAACGATTGCCGTGTATTTACTATCACTTTGAGACGTTTGGCTAAACCTGCAGGTAAATGTGGGTGATTTTAACATTCCAGTAGTATTAATCAGTAGCAAGTACTTCAAATGACTTCAGGAAAGAAAACAATAAAAACCGATAACATCTTATTTACCTTAGAAAGGGATCTTTTGAAGACTATGAAAACAAATGCCGAATAAGAGCACATTAGAAAATGTTACCATGCACATTTTGTCCCCTAAGAACTGATAATAAAGACAAACTAAGAGATACAGTAAAGTAAATATCCCTAAAAAGATCAGATGATTGAATGAACTTAGTCGTAAGTTACTTGAACAAACTCTCACCAAGTGAGAGCCACAATCTCTGCTACAGAGACTAAGTCGGTAATTATAAGCAGAGATGGATGGTGGCTAGCAGTGGAATAAAAGGTGCGCGATTCATTCTATTTCGGACTAGTCAGCCGGATGTGCCTGCATCCCAGAGTTGATGTTCACCTCATGACTCGAACCCAGTACCGTTCGTTTCAAACCCCATCGCGTTATCCACTTTTAGCCAGAATCCATCTTTGGTCACAATGCTTGTGACTTAAAACAATATCAAGGCAATCCGCACATGCACATATGCTACTAAGAGACTGATCGATTATAGTCATAAATATCAATGAGATTAAAAAACCAACACAAATATGAATTAAGTCCGTAATTTATTAAATGTGAACAATAATTATTATAATTATAATGTGAATAGATAAACCCAGTAAAACTTTTGAGGCCAGTTAAATGTTCGAATACAAATAAAATGAGAACGGGACAGAGAAATATGGTACAGTCTAATGAACCATTCATGACTCAGTAGTGTCTACTTTGGCTCATGCCCTCGGAATAAATAGATACACTCGTTTTTCCGTCTTAATTTCTAGCAGTTTGTAATTCTCTCCTAAATTACTTTGAAATGCTGGTGTGGAATGTGATGACTTTGCATATGTGAATAGAAAAAAACATTCACAAATGTGTTTAATGATGAAATAGGTTTGCTTATAACTTTTGAAGTCACATAATCACATTATGCAATGGTACTCTGCATTGCATAAACGAAACAACTTACTTGAGTTGATAACTTTAGATAAGAGGTTCAGGTAAGTTTTCTAAATCAAACAAATAAATTAAATATTAGATTAAGAATTATGGTTACTTTAACACCACGTGATTTCTCCAACATGAGATTTTCAATTTCTTCCGGAGATTTTGGGAGTTTACGAGTCGATGTTACTTCGCGGCTAAAAAGAACCCAATCAAATCAATTCATTATCCTATAAAACACAGTTTATAGTAATGACAACAGATACATATTGAGATTGCAACAGATGCAAAGAAGATGGTTTCCCAGTCGATTTTTCATCATATAGACTTATGAGAACTTTAGGTTGCGTATAAAAACAATGAAAATGTTGGGATTCAATTTTTTCTGCAGCTATTCACTGTTAAACACATGTATTTCCAAAGGATAAATCACAAAACAGATTTATTTACTAAAATCTGTCGAGTCTTTATACCATTAATCTGAAAAGTGCTACTTCTATGTATATGTAACAATACCTACCTCAGTCAGTCAGCTACAACGTAGGACCACGCGCATATATGCATCGGTCCAAGTTGCCATACCTACCTAATCAGTTAGAAGTCCTAAACCACACAGACGGTATGATTGAAACTACTGGATACCTCTTAGACGGATAAAAGCCGACCTGATGACCGAGCATAAAATACACAATTCACCGAAATAGCTCCACTTTTAGATTCCAACCTATTCTACTTGAGGGACTTTTCGTAGTGTAGCTTATCACAAAGAAGGTGAAAGCCAAATAATCAAGAACTTTCGAGCTAAGATCGTGAACATAGTTACGTTAATTATATATATCGTGCTATTTATGAGTACATCTATTAAGGGAAAATAGGAACTAAACAAAATATTCACATCATACAGTCACAGAAAATTTTATTTATTTATTTTAATATAAATAAATAAATAAAATATCATGTAAAGTGAATGTATCGAATATGAAAAAGATCAAAGGAGATACTCACAGTTGATCTAAAACCTTCTGTCTTAGTTGTGGTGTGATTACATCTACCGACATTGTAATGAATTAAAAGAATTCCGGTCAGTATTGTTGTTTACAGGCTGCGTATACGTAATATACTTCGCAAAGTGGAGAGTTGATGATCAAGGCAAAATGATCAGTTATTGGACACCAAAATCAAACTAAAGTTCCAATATCATTTAGTTTAATAAATTGAGCGCTGGAGATATGTTTGAAATATATATATTCTTTTGTTTAGGACTATAAACATCCTGTAAGACAAATAAAAAGGCACAAATGACGAATGCTACCTAATTTGTGGTCAAGGTAGATCGATTATACAAAAAAGTATTTATAGCATCTTTTATCGGTCATATAGTTCAGAAGATCAATGTTGTTTCCTTCAAACAAAACTTGAAATATCAGGATAACTAAAAGATTTAACATAAGTAAGGACATATAAGGGTAATGTAATATTAATGATCATTAGAAAAATAAATCAAATGAGTATTCAGTAGATGTCATATTCTTCTCAGTCAGTCAGTCAGTAACAACGTAGAACTTCGTACGTATGTACATCAGATTGAGTTACCATACCATATTAGTACAGAGATGCAGATGTCGATTCAAATCCCATAGTGGTAGAGTTAGTAAGAGTATAAGCATTAATCGGAAACATTAGGGTTTGGATATGCTATTTAAAGAGTATAATCCAGTGAAATAAATTTGGAAAGAGTAAAAAAGGGACATGAAGAATTCAGAAGATTAGGATTTGGGAGAACATAAAGAGTGGATGCACCTGCGCCATTGCAGACGATTTTGAGCCATGTCATTCAGGGTCTGTAACCATCGGTTGCTATCATCTATCGGTCCCCAACCAGGTAGTCTGCACCTACCAACATGGCTCAGTCCACTTGTCAGTAACTTAATGGACTTGTGCCATGTTTTGGTCATATTTTTCTAAGTGTCATTATATATATATATATATATATATATATATATATATATATATATATATATATATATATATATATATATTGAGGATCCTACTAGATATCCAACAGCTTGGAATTAAGAACATCTGATAGTACCTCTATATACCAAGCAGAACACTTACAAATAAGTCACGTGACACAAAAATTCAGAGACACTACAAATTTCCCCACAGTTACATAAGTATTGATTTTCTTGTCTTCTGTAGGCAACTCTGACGTTTTACTAACTGTCAAATAGATCCTACAATTCTAAATAGTGAACAGTGAAGTGTGTTTTGAAGTGATGTAACACATGAAACGACGATTGCTATGTGTCTTAATGACACTGTGATTCCAATTTTATTAAAGTGGTGTTTTCCTGCATGTAATCAATCCTTATTTAGATGTCCAATATCAAACATGGAAAGCCGGTCACTCATGAACATATGGTCAGTGAGTAATGATTAACAAATGTGCGTTAGTCCAGGCTGCTATACCGCATTGAGATTAAGAGATTAAATGGATAGCAAAGGAATCGGAATAATATCAGTAGTAGTGACGGTAAGAAAAATTAGGCATTGAGAATACGGTTCGAGATGGAATGAATGGATACTGGGACTTAAAATCTACGGGAAGGTTAAAAGTAGATTTATCTGCATCACTGTGATTAAACCTAAGACGTGTTACTAGAAGTCGACAACCAATGACCACGATCATCGTGAAGATTCCAACCAAGTGGCTTAGCACCAAATGAGACCAACAATCAATGACTTCATGGACTAGTATTTGTTTGTCTGCCACCTTTATTTATTTATTTAACACATAAAATTACGGTACAACTAGGTACCAAGAAGAGTATGTGTCACACAAGTAAAGAAGAGAAACTAAGAGGAAAAATGGGGGGGGAGTAATTTTTTAGGGAGAATAAGTTAACAAGATTAGTATGTATTAACAGATACAATACAGTTTTGTTAAAAAGCTATAACCAAGGAAACTTCTTGCAGTTAAGCGAGTTCCCTTCGCTTTTATAGAGAATGTAAGAAAAAATTACAATAGGGTTGCCACTGTTTTCTATTCCGAACTGTATGATAACGTCTTAAATCATTATGTTTCACTAGCTCTAGGACCCTAACCAATGAGTCCTGAAGGACCTACAAATGTCCGTCCAACACAGCTTTCCCTCATACTACGATCCAAACTCATAAACTGGTCATTTCCCCGCTTTTTCCACCCAGCCGCTGGAATGTCATTCGTAGAACATGTCCAGGTCACCGAGGCCACTGTTTCAAGATAACAACACTAACAAGATGATTTTCAATATGACCGGGAAATCACTGGAAAACGTCAACATGGTGTTGGCACTAAGTAGTAGCACCCCTTCACATACAGTCAGTCAGCTACAACGTAGGACCAGGCACATATGTGCATTGGTCCAGGTTGCCATACCGCATTAGCACAGCAAGATGAACACCGGATTCATAGGAGTGGTTAGGTCAAAGGTGATAATATATAGGAGAAAGATTGCATATAAGGATATAATATAGGAATAAAGAATTAGTTAGTAGAAAGAAAGATATGAAGTGATTTTAATCTCTTAGTTTAAGGAAAGACAGGGAGTGTATACACCGACGCCATTGTGATCGATTCTGAGCCATGTCACCAAGAGTCTCCAATCATTGGTTACGATAGTCACGCGGACCCCAACCAAGTAGTCTGCATCTACCAACATGGCTCAGACTAGAAGTTAGTGTCTTCAGGCACTGATGCCACGTTTTGGTTTGGCCGCCCCTAACTTTCTTCCAACCATCCCGAACACCGGTTAGCATTGCACATCGTGGTAATCGGTGTTCGGGCATACGTAACACGTGGCCCAACCATCTCAGTCGATGAAGACTTACAACCTCATCAACTGATTTACCATCATTCCTTAATACCCTGCGTCTAACCTCACTATCACTTACCCAGTGATCCCAGCAGACGCCAGCAATATTTCTAAGGCATCTGTGGTTAAATACTAGTAGCTTACGAGTATCTTCTACTCTTAATGGCCATGTTTCGCTGCCGTAAAGTAAAACAGAACGGACTGCCGTGCAGTATACTCGTCCTTTTATTGATAGACGGATATCTCGCCTTCGCCACAGGTGACGTAAGTTGGCAAAAGCCAAGCGAACTTTTCGAATCCGTGCTGAGATTTCGTCAGACACCAACCCATTAGGGCTGATCAGACTTCCAAGATAAGTGAAGTTGTCAACGCGTTCGACTACTTCACTCCCTATCCTTAGTTCAGGTGTTAACGCAGACCAGTCCTGAAGCAACAACTTGCATTTAGAGGGAGAGAAGCGCATTCCAAACATCCTGGCATTGTTGCTCAGTGCTACCAGAAGACTCTGCATTTTGTCAGCGTCTTCACCAAACAGGACTATGTCATCTGCGTATTCTAAGTCGATAAGTGGACCTCCTGGATGGAGATCAATACCCGAGAACTCAGTCGACGAGAGTGTTATTTCCATCAATAGGTTTATGATGAAGTTAAACAAAAATGGAGAAAGTGGAAAGCCTTGACGGACATCACTTGAAGTTGCAAAAGCAGATGACAGTTCGCCGTAAGCTCTGACTCGACTGGTAGTGTTCGAGTAAAGAGCCTTCACAAGGTTTATGTACTTCTAAGGTACGCCTTTCAATGACAGACACTGCCACAGAATCTCGCGGTCTACCGAGTCAAATGCTGCTTTCAAGTCAAGAAAGACCACCATTGTCGGGCGCCGAGAAGTATGCCTGTGTTCTAGAACCTCATGCTTAATGATATGCCTACACCTGCCAGTCCACGAGAACTGGCCATCGGGTCATCAGATACACGGGGGGTGTATCTCGTTGCCTCTCCGTTTTGCCGAGGTGAGGTCAATTGGATGGCCACACTGGAATCCTGTATGCGTGTTTCGGAGACACAGCATACATCAATGGTAAGTGACTAGGGTTTTAGCTAAGGAAGACTGCTGACCGATTTGACATAGGGTTCATAAGTTGAAGGCTCCAATGTGTAGTTTGGAGCGAGGTTTCAGTAGACTTGGGACAGTGTTTTGAGCACTAGAATCGTTAGCTATGGTGACACTTGAGGAGGAAGCCGAAAGAGGAAATTTCGGGTTGAAAGCCGATGTAGGAGGAATAATAGGAATTGAAGAGGGAGGTTGATTATGAATACAGTGGTCCTGGGTGCTGTTAGAGGTATGAGGGCGATTATAACTTCCTGGTTGCCCACAACGTGAAAGGGTTGTTCTGGAGGTGCCTGGAAAGGAAATTGGATTAGAGGTGGTCTTAGTGACCTGAGAGCGTGACCGCAGTGCCCAAGGGACAACTGCTTGAGGTCGGTCACATACGACCTTTTTATGGGTAATTTTTGTGTTAGCTCCGTACTTGTTGAGACCTTACCGCCAGAGACGGATATCCGTGGGATAAGGCGAAGTGTGCATTTTTAGGGTCGACCTTTTCTAACCCCACTCCTCCTTGTGGGAAGGCAGCATCGCTGTCATGCTGGTCGTCTGAAGGAAACACCTTACTACTGTCACACCTCTGTACAGTCAGCAGTAGGACTTCGCCTTCGGACCTTGGGTTTGTTGCTTTTAGTCTTACCGCTCTTCAACCGACCTGTCTGACATGGTAGGACCTTGGGGAACGGTTGTTCCAGCCAGTATAGCTCGGTTGCTTCATCACGATAGACAAGCCCGACCACCACGTCAAGGTAGCAACAACGGTCGGGCCGCTTCCTTATGGATCCAGACTTTTAAGTTAAAGGCCTGGGGTGTGGTCATCCGGTCAGTATCATATTACAATTGATTGATCACTGGGTGGTGATCAATGTCATGCGTGTCAAGTCCCTATTTAGTGCAGATCGGATGCTATCGACCATGTTGCAATGTGGCCACCAGTCTAGGTGACTCGACACTGCGTGTACTATATATTGAGATTAGATAGTGGTTGGAGGTAGTGGACAGGAAACCCTGGACCCGGGTTTCGTGCTACTTGGCACTCGTCAGCAAGATGTACCTGTAATCTTAAGGGGACTGGTGCTCCCCGGCGGATTCGATCCCGTGTCACCCAGCTTCACAGTCAGAGACGTTACCACTGAGCTATCCGGGCCGCGGCTGACCTCCTGTAGGACTGAGATGTAATCAGTCAGTAATCATAGTTAGTATCATAGCCTACACACAAACCAAGTGTGTAGCGCATCTGTACTCAGTCCCCCCCCTTTATCTTACCAATATTTATGTATTGAAATAAAATAAATAAATAAACAACCCTTC